AGCTCAGCACAGACCCAGAGCCCAAAATTCCCATCGAGAGCCTCGGGTAAGTCCTGAGATAAGACCACCTTGGGTCTGGCCCAGGAAAACATGCCTCCCCTGCTCTGCCATCCTAAACCCAGGCAGCAGCAGATGCAGCCTGCCCTTCCAGGCTTGTGATGGGGGTGCTGCAGATGCCCCTGCGTGGGGTGGGGGCCGTGGAGCTGGCGGGTAGACTCTCAGAGCAGCGTTTCGCAGGCAGCTCCCACAGACGCCTGTGTGGGTGTCCATGTCCCCTGTAGCCAGGACCCCGTGCCTGGCCAGCAGGGTGGGGGCATGCACGTCGCGGACCCCTCCCCAAGTCCACTGTCCCTTCAGCCCCAGCCACCTGGTGAGCCGCACCCTCTGTGTCCACTGCCATGGAGGTGTTTTATTTGACTTGAGGTTTAGCTGTTTGCTTTGCACAACGAGCTCCCGCCCCATAGCTTGATGGCTCCAGACAGGGCTGACCAGGTCTGTAAAGTGAGATTGTCCATCCGGGAGGAGGAGGAAGCAACCCCCTATCCGGGTCGGTCTCCCCACCCTCCCCGCTACACCTGGTGCCTTCACTCCTGCAGCTGCTGGGGTGGGAGGCAGTGGGTCAAGCACATGCTGGACACGGGCCCCAGGCCCCGCGTGGGCGACTCAAGGTGCAGGGACTGGTGTGGCCACACTCCCTGTTCAGAGCAGCCGATCTGGGGCTGGCGTGTCTGGTTTCCTCTCCAGGCAAGGAGCGCCTTCCTGTTTAGCTTATCTGGACAGGGCAGGGTGGGCTCTTGGCCAAGGTGCTGGGCCTGCCCGCAGCAGCGGCTCCCTGGGGCCGGCACGTCTGCTCTGAACCCCGAGTGAGCCCATGTGTGCGGGGCCTCTGTGCTGCACTTCACTTCAGGGAGGGCCCCAGGGTCCATGGGGCGCCTGCTGGGCTCAAAGCACAGTGCCGGCACTTTCCATCCTGCGTTCCGAACCCCCATGCACAGCGCAGCTCCTAGACATGGTTCTTCTTGGAATTTCTGGGCGCATTTGTAAAGCACGCACACAGATAAAAGGTAAGGGCCAAATAAAAATGAATATAGGTAAATAGTTGCTTCCCACACCGCTCTTGCGCCAGGCTGCAGGCAGTCCTGAAGCCTGAGGTCTCCTCACTGCTGCTCTTGGGAAGGCAGAACCTGAATGTGCAGAGAAGCTGGGAAACAGCACACAGAATACAGCAGCTGGAAACCCAGGGCCCTGGCATGTCGGCGAGAGGGGAGCTCAGAGCTGGGGCACGTGTGAGAAGGCTGCAAGCCACAGGCCTAGCCAGGGCTGTAAATGGGCTGGGGACGTTTCTGAAGGTTCTGGATGGTGCTGGAGGCCTTACTACAGAGGCCGGGCTGGAGCTTCTTGGAGGGCGACTGGTTATGTTATTCAGGAAGCTGACTGAGCTCCCAGGAGGGATTTGAAATCACACCACAGGGAAGCTACAAGAAATTACAAGAAACGTGCATTTCTGGGGGACGGCCGTGTGTCCGGCGTCCACTCAGCCTGGCCTTGGCAGCAGGCCTGGGCTTCTCCACGCCAGCGTGGGGTGGATTCTCTCTTGCGGGTGGAGGCCTCTGCTGTGGGTGTGGTTTCACGTGCACTGTCTCAGGCTGAAGGTCCAGGTGCCTGGAACAGCTTTCGTGATTCGGAGACTGGACAGAAACCAGCCTGAGGCCGCACGAGCTCCCACAGCTCCGGGAAGAAAGCTGTTTCCCGTCTCCAGCCCCAGCCGGAGAGGCTGCAGGGACGCCTGCTCCCTTACTGAGGTTCTCATGCCTCATCCGCCCTGCCTGCAGCAGGTATGTCCTGAGGCTCCGCCCGGCCATGCACTTGGGGAAGGGCTGCCCCGTCCACAGCAGCAGCAGCAGGAGGAGCCTGGGGTGGCAGAGGTCAGAAGGCGAAGCTGCCTGTGTGGTGTTTGCTGTGGCAGGCACTGCCCACGGGCGGGAGGGTTCGGCCCGAGACACCGCTGGGCCAGAGCAGAGGCTCTCGTTCCTGGAGAGACGCACCCCAGGTTGCAGGTTTTCTGGGCTGGATCAACTTGTGTCTGTCTTTCAAGCTTTCTTCATGTTTGGAATACGACATTGCTTCTAGTTGGTGCCAGCTACTGCACATTTGGGCTGATAGGGCCGCGTTTCTTCAAATAAGCCAGCCCTGGCATTGGAGGCCCTGGGCTTCCCTCATGCCACGCTGCCCCCAGTGGCACGAAATCAGAGCCCTGACCCTGTGCTCATCACAGGAAGGTGCATTGAGAGTGGGCGGCGGTTTCTGTGCCAGCAGGGCGGAATCGCTGTGTGGACGGAGCACACAGTCGCGTCCCGCCCGGGCACCTCCTTTGCAGCCGCGTGCTTGGGTCCCCCCCAGGCCTTCTATTCTTCTGCCTGCTCTGCGGTCTGCGTGCCTCGACTAACTGCTTTCTGGTTTTAGTTGCGTTGTCTGCCCTGGGTAGCCCTTTTAATCGCTCCGGCAGTTTGAATGTCAGCAAAACCGTCTCCCCGGCACACTGAAGAATGCAGGTGTCCTGAGAAGCGTTTTCCCCACTAGAGCTGCCTGTGGGGGCCGTGGGGAAGATGGGCCGGGCTTCATTCACTGCAGTGAGTGCTGTCGTGGAGCACCTGGGGAGGGAAAAGGGGAGACGTGACGCCTGGGACTCTGTCAGCTTTCGGGAGAAAAAGGTGAGCTATCACACCTGGGCTCTGCCAGCTTGTGGGAGAAGTGACACTTTGCCACTAGTTGGTCGGGGCTGAAGTCGCCAGCTGCTAACCACAGGTCAGTTGTCTGTGATGAGCCCACCGCCAAGTGCCCCGTGGTCCTGTGTACGCTACACGCTGGGGCCATGAGTTTCGGGGCTCCTCAAGGCTCAGCCGCCCCCAGGGGCGTCTAGAGAGGGCCACCGCCAGTGAAGATCTGTCCTTGTGCCTCCAGGGGCTCCTCTTCTGGGAACTGTCTGGGGCTATGTCTATCTGGGAGCTGCCCCACGCCTTGGAGATTTGTCAGAAGCGTCTTCCTGCCCTCTGGCCTTGAGTCTGCCCCTCCCCGTGCCCTCCTCCGATCTTGAGTCAAGCCTGGGCTGCGTCTGTCCGTGAAACGATCCAGGCAGCACAGCCTCAGCTCCATCCAGGGTGCTTATCACAAGGCGGAGCTGCAAGCCCACCGCCCGTCAGCCAGCAGCAGGGCAAGAAGCAGCATCTCCCTGGAGAGGGTCGGGAGCAGCCTTTGGGGACATTGAGGCAGTGTATCCCCCTGGGACCCCAGCCAGCAGAGCTGCGTCCAGGTCGGTGTATCGCCCGCACAGCACACTCAAGCACCTGTGGTGGCTGTGGCGGAGGACAAGACTCCTCCTGGGAAGACTCTGCGTGGCTCGTGGCTCCAGCTTCCTGCCACACCTGTCCTCTCCACCTGCGGTCATATTCAGGGAGCCCAGCCCTGTGGGAGACCCTCCCAACAGAGAAGCCAGCTCTTGCCAACAGCCCCACTGTGGTGCCAAATGGGAGAGGCTGCAGGGAGCCGTGGAGGACAGGGAAGGACGCGTCGGGAGGGAGCTGCACCTCCGTGTGTGGATGGAAAGATAAGCTGAGCTGGAGAATAATCGGGGATTTGTCTTCAAGGTGTTTTTCTCTTGACTCTTCATGTGATGGGAAAATAACATGCAAGCCCCACGCGTTTGAGGACTTCCGCCCTCCACTCTGGAGTATGTCTTCTCCGTAGCAGCAGCTCCACCGCCTGGTGCACATCCTCGTCCCCCGCGCCTCAAAACCATGGCACACATTTGTGGGAGGAATGAATTGTGTGTCCTCGGAGAAAAACTCCCTGCAAACTGCTTTCCTCCTTAAACTCCAGCTCAGGCTTCTGAAGAAGACCAGTGTTCGGAGGACAGCTTGTGTCTCTTTAGGATGAACTCCAGGGCACGTGTTGCAGAGTATTCTTCAGTAGTTCTGTTCTTAGGATCCGCACCTCCAGGGGCTTCCCAACCTGCTGGCCGAGGACCCCAGTGGCCGTGAGACTCCACAGGCCCAGGCAGCCTATGCCCCGCAGGCAGGGCCTGTGGGAAGGGCAGAAGAGGCACCTTGACAGGGACGCCACACTTGTCTTTTATTCTGACGAAGGTCCGTGTGTCTGAGTGTGTGCTCAAGGCTCCGGAGGACAGGTGTTGTCCCCGGGGAGTAGGTGACCATGTGGTGGCTTGCCTGAGGTCAGGGCCCTGGAGCTCAGACCTTCCATCTTGACGTGGTCTGTAGGGAGCTCGAAGGTCTCAAGGGCTGAGGGTGGGGAGACCTTAGTCTTCTGGACTGTGCAAGACATGGTGGGCGAGACAGTGGGTGAGCAGCCACGGCCACAGCGGTGAGCCTGGGATGGTTTCCTGGACGTGGTTTGGGTCACGTGTTCCGGCCTCTGATGGCAGTGACCGTGGTCATCAGCGGCCCCTCAAGGACACAGCAGGACAGGCCCTCCTCAGAACAGGATAGTCATGAGCTAGTCCCTCCTGAAGATGGCCAGGTCCTCCCCGGCCTGGGGCCCCACCGCCTGGGCCTGCACTCTGGTGACTGTGGCTTGGCCCCCTTGCTCATTGAGCAAATCCATGAGACTCCACCCTGTGCCCTGTGGGAGCATGGCCTTTGCCAACCAGAAACTCCAGCGTGATGAGACATCGGGGCCGGGAGACACACAGAAGAGGGGAGTAACTGATTTCCTGGGGTTCTTTCGTCTGTACCAGGGGCCTCCTTCCCGGAACGGCATCCTCTCTTTCGGGGGCAGCCCCTGGCACCGCCACTGTCCCTGTGATTAAAAACTGAGGCTCTTCTGTGAGATGCCCCTTCTCAGAACACAGCCCTCTATTTGGCTGATCTCTCTTCACCCCATCTGCACTGGCGGCCGTGTGGCTGCCTGAGATGTCCGCAGGCCTCCGTGCCCTCCAGTGCTGGGAGCAGAGGGAGGAGGAGGGGCTGGGTCCTTGGGGTCTCCGCGGGCCTTGAGCACACGGTGGGAGAGGGGACATGTGTCCCGAGGCCGGTGCCTCTGGGCTGCTTTGTGGTTGGGGGTTGGAGGCTGGAGCTGGGGACGCGTTGGACTGCTCGGCTGTGAGGGGACCCGCCACGTGGCACCGTCATCTGTGCTGTGTCCCTGCCCCTGACAGTGTCGGAGCTGTGCCTGCAGAACATGCTTTGGGCATCAGAGAGGGCCAGGAATGAAGATGCCAGCTGGCCCCAGAGGCAGGGCTGAGGTGCGGGTGGCAGGTGCATTGGCAGGTGACAGCGTGAGGGGCCAAGACGCGGTGCCCCGCCCCCCACAGCTGATGTTCCAGGGAGAGCTCATCTGGGGCGAATTCTGATGGCAGAAGGTAGGAACACAAGAGATCTTGGGCACAGGAGGCCCAGGACAGCGTGCAGGGCCCACACCTGCCACAGCTCGGGGGTGGCTCACGCTGCCGGCACCAGACCAGCCGCAGGTCCAAGCTTACAGGGAAGGATGGCTGGGCTGGGGAGGACGTCGGTAATTATGGGTGGACATCAGAGCCCCTCAGCAGGCTTGAGTGTGTGCAGAGGGGCTTCCAGAAGCGACATCCTTGCCCAGGTGGCATGTGGCTGCCTCCCAGAGGAGCCAGGTCACGAGGAAGCAGTGGCCCCTCTCGGGCATCCCTCCTCTGAGTGTGCGCAGGGTACAGAGGAGTCCTGGCCCCGGAGGAAGGTCGAGGTTCCAGATAGCTTTGGTGCTTGTCGGCGATCACAGCCACAAGAACAGCGTCCATGGCTGATGTTCCCAGAGGCAGGGCCCGGCGAGGCCACATCTTCCCCCTCCAGGCAGCAGGGGACGCCAGCGTTTGGGCGTGATGGAGCTGAGGTTTCATTTCCAGAGGCAGGAGCCAGGGGTCTGGCATTCGGGGTTGGCCACTCCCAGGGGCCGATGTTCCCAGAGGGCAAAGCTGAAGCCTGGAGGGCCAGCTGTACCGGGCACACACAGGGTGGGAGTCAGCACACGCATGAGGCTCGGTGGAGGGAGGCACCGGGAGAGGCCAGGGCAGCAGGCACACGGCTGGCCGGAGTCCCACGGAAACCCACCACCCTCCCAGGCCGGCTCGGCTCGGGCTGACTTCAGCACTGGGCGTGATGTTCTCAGAAGACATGGTCAGTCCCCTTAGCAACTTGGGTTTTCCTTCTCAAACTCTGGGCCTGGATGAGTGGCCTCAGGTCACTTGGGAGCACGTCAGAGACAGAACCTGCTTCTGAGCGAGCTCTCCGTGGGCTCCCGCCCAGGGCAGCAGTGAGGAACGCCCTCCTGGAAGGCCAGTTTTCAAGTGCTGTCTTTAAGTATCCCCCTCCCAGCCCTGGAAAAGTAGAGGCAGCCCTGAGCCTGTCTTCCGTGTTCTCACTGCAGGGCATTCTGAAGTCGGACTCCTTGAGAATGACCTCACGCAGCTTTAACAGGGACTCAGTGACCGAAAGATGGATGGGAACAGCAGACGCAGCTGCCTTCTGGGCACTGGAGGGCTCAACTCTCCATGGGCGTGTGTGGCGGGGCAGAAGGCCGGGCCCCCTGGGTCAGCACACTCTCTGGAAAGCTCCTCCCTGCCTGCCCAGGTCTCCGCATCGTGGGGCTGGATCAGGGGATGGATCTCCAGTGAGCATGGCCCCTGTAAGCTCAGGTCCCTGCCACTCAATGGATGGGACTTTGGTGGAGCATGGGGCCCCTGCAGGGAGGGTCTGGACAAGCAACACTGGGAGCCTGAAGCCTCTCTGGCTGGGGCTCAGCTGCCGCCAGGATCGCAACAGTTAAGCTGCCTGCTGCAGGATAAGTGAGCCACTGCCTCTCCTTAATCAGCGACATCGAATAGGAATCGGAGGCCCTGGGAGGAGCGGCCGGCAGGCAGCCCTGCGGAGCCCAGGTCTGTGCCACGAGCCCAGGGAGGTGTGGCGTCCTCGCGCACGGCCAAGATGGTGCTGGTGCTGCGCGGTCCTTTGTGTGCCCGGGGAGGGCCTTCCGGGAGCCAGGTCGGGGGCTCCTGACAGCTGCGGGGCAGCATGGCGCTGAGCCGGCTGTCACTGCTGTGCCGGGACCTCTGGGTGCTGTGGCTACTGCTGAAGGCGGGCACAGGTGCGTGGGGAGCGGGCGGGTCCCCACCTCCCCGGAAGGCGTTGTGGGGCGACCGCACATGGGGACACGGGGCCAGGTGGACGTTCTGGGCTCAGCCCTGTCCTCAGAGGCCGCCTGGGCATGCAGCACGGCTACCGGGGCAGGAGCCCTGGGCTGGGGGATGCTGGGAGTGGATGTCGGTCAGCTCAGGTCCCTGCCACGCAGTGGATGGGACCCGCTCCTTGCAGGGAAGGTGTGTGCAGGCCTTGCCCAGTGGATGGTGTAGGGCTGTGATCCTGGGGTCCCTGGGCAGCAGTGAGGCCGCCTCTGCCCTTGGCTGTGAGGGACCGCCTGTGCTGGTCCCGGAAGGCTAGGATCATCTTTCCACGGGCTCCTTTGTTCAAGGTTTCTCATAGACAGGCTGTGTGGACATGTGAGCGCAGCGCCTGCGTCTGGCTGCTGGAGAGGCTGCGGCTCCTCCTTGGAGGGGACTCCCGGCCACTGCTCTTCCCACAACGGGGCCACCCGTGGTGCCGGGTGTGACCAGCTGCCCTCTCCAGGCAAGCGGGACTTGGGAGGCCCCTGGGCAAGCCTGAGAACCTGGCCGGGCAGCCTCTGTGGGCTCAGGTCTGGGTGGGTTTGGTCTGGGTGGGGCTCAGGGGCTGCTGGTCCACACTGGCTCCGTCCTGGCATCTGGAACTTTTGGGCAGGGTCCCTGGAGAAGGGGCCTCGCCGGGAGGAAACAGCCTGGGTTTCGTTGATGCCTTTCTAATAACGGAGTCCTCATTTTGAAGAGATCTGCCCTCATTTTATTTTCTAGGGGGTACTTATGCCAAGTATTGATGAATAATTCATAAAATAAGCATCTTTGTGAATTTTACTGACTCAGAGTTTAACTATCAATGGCAACGAATACACATCTGAAGTTTCCAATTTTTAAATAAGAACTGGCTGGGAACAGCAGTTCACACCTATAATTCTGGCTCTTTGGGAGGCCGAGGCTAGAGGATCACTTGAGTCCAGGAGTTTGAGACCAGCCTGGGCAACATGGCAAGACCTCATCTCTACAAAATATTTTTTTAATTAGCTGGGTGGTGGCATGTGCCTGTAGTCTCAGCCACTCCAGAGGCTGAGGGGAGGATCATTTGAGCCCAGGAGGCCAGGGCGGTGATAAGATATGGTTGCACAACTGCACTCTAGCCTGGGTGAGGGAGCGAGGCCCTTTCTCAAAAATAACGATAATAGTAAATAAAATGAACTGAATGTGTGACAAACAGCTGATTAAATGAATTTCCCTAACAGGTGAATTCAGGGGGACGTTTAGGGGGCAGAGATGGAAATCTCAGTCCTTGATTTTTAAACTAGTGTAGGCACTGGTGTGTGTCAGAAGAGTTGATTTCATGTCTGAAGTCAGGGTGGAAGAGGCAGCACTGTGAACAGTCCCGTGGAAGGACCCTAAAACCAGAGCTTTCGCCGACCGTGGTTGACGTGGGGGTTTCACAAGCACGTGGCGCTGTCTGGGGGGGTGGCCGGATGCCATCCTGGGACCACACGTATTTCAGCGCAGGAGAGCAGGGTGGAACTCCAGCGGGGCCATAAGTGCTCACGTTAGGTGGCTGTTTGTTTAACTAAGTGCTTCTTTCAGTTCTTACAACCCTCTCTTCACAAATCCGTATTGTTTGTCAAATTCCTAATTCTAACGTGTACTTTATTTTTCAAACAAACGGACTCGCAAATGTCCCCAGGGGATTTCGTATAATTCAGGGTTTGGGGCTTTTCTCCACTCTGTTTTCCTCCTCCCCAGGCCCCAAAACGTTTTCTTAGATTTCTGAAGAAGCAAATGTGAGCCCATTTCTCTAGGGGACCCTGGGGAAGCCTGTGGGTGGGCGGAGCATTGCCGGGTGCCACAGGCTGTGCGCTTGGGGACCTGACGTTCGTTAGCACCCACTGTTGACAGAGAAAGGCTCCACGTAGGACTCTCATCCCACAGGCCACAGTGGGCGGTGGGCAAGCCAGCCAGGTGCAGAGGACAGGAGAGAAGGTGGAGCCTGGCACCTGCTGAGAGCCAAGCTGAGTGGACAAGGCGGCATGGCCCTGAGGGCTGACCCTCCGTCTAGATTCCATAGGCCACGGCCAGGGCCAAACTGCAAGTGTGGGCACAAGCCTCGGACCTTGGCCCCTGTTGTCTGCCCCTCACTACATTAGTGAAGTCCGAAAGTACGTGTGCCCACAGCCACCCTTGGGAAGAGAGCTCTGCCAGCCCCACCTCACCTGCCCATTTCTCTCTGTCTGTCTTCATTCCTGTCTCTCCTTCCTTCCTTCCTTCCTTCCCTTCCCTCTTCTTCCCATTCTGCTCTTTTCTTCTCTTGTTCTTTTCTCTGTTTCTGTCTCACCGTCTCTTTATCTCTGTGTCTCTGTCTTTCTGTCACTGTCTCTCTATCTCTGTGTTTCTGTCTCTTTCTGTCTCTGTCACTTTGTCTCTGTCTCTGTCTCTCTCCCTCTGTCTCTGTCTCTCACACACACTGTCCTGGTCGGCTTGGCCTGTCCTGCCCAGCTGACCCCTTGATCATTCAAGACCCAGATGATTGTACCCCTGTGCCCCGCCTGGCTCTTGCAAATGGGCGCTCTCAGCCCCTGTGCCCCGCCTGGCTCCTGCAGGTGGGCGCTCTCAGCCCCCGTGCCTCCGAGAGGCTGACCTCCTCTGCACAGTGTGTTATCATTTTAGTCTGTCTGGGATGTTTTTGGTGAAGGTTAGAGTAACTTCCTGTTGGTTTTTATATGCATAGAATTCTTGGTACTCAGAAATGAGAAAAGGCTTATGCAGCTGCAGTTGAGGGAGGATTTTTGGAGAGCTGCTGGGGTTCCTGGAAGGAGCTCAGCTTTGGTGTTGGATGGAGCAGTAGCTGGCTGTGGGGGTGCGTGCAGGTCTGAGTGGGAGACGGAGGTGGACACCTGTGCCACAACTAGGGACAGTGCCACGACCAGGGACCGCACGGTGTCTGCACCGGTCATTGGTGTCAATCTACCTAACCTTTAACTGAGTTATTTTGATTTTTATGTGGACAAGTAATTATTTTAGGATGTGTAAGAAAAGAAGAAAAGCTGTCGGAAAAATCTCCTTCATTTGTAAATGGCAGTGGGCCCACGTGGAGTGTGTGTGTGTGTGTGTGTGTGTGTGTGCGCACGCGCGCACGCATGTGTGATGTGTAAGCCGTACCTGTTCCTTAAATGCCAGCTGAGATCTGATGCTGCAGCCACCCTGGGGTCAGACAGGGGAGACTTTAAAACAGACTCTCGGAGGTGCGAGGAGACGGATGTGCAGCTGCAGGCCGAGGCGTCGTTCTCCCCAGCGCCCCCCTGCTGTGGGGAAGAGAGAGTCTGGGGTGCGACCGCTGCCTCACTTGGCTTGAGGTCAGCTGCTTTAACTACAGCCCCAGAGTTCAGGCTCTGCAGAGAACACCCTGCTGTGTCTTCGAGTGTCTGAGGGGCTGGAAGGGGGTGAACGTTCTTCCAGCCCCTTCTCTCTCCGCCTCCCATGTTCACAGGGTGTCAGGGTTACTGGGACTCCTCCACAGCCTGTTTCTCTGTCAGCCTGGCTGCTGAGCTTCTCCCTAGGGAAAAGCTCTGCCCCCGTCCTGAGCCTGGGACCCATGGGCGGGCCTCTGTAGAGACTCCTGTCCCCTTTGTCTTTGGGGACTCCTCTGCCGGGGAGTGGATGGGGTGGTTCTTAGCTGGGCCTGCTCAGCCCTCGGTCCTATTGGGCATCTGCATCCGGTCCAGGCACAACCCGGAGCTCCTGGACTGACCAGAGGCAGGACCCCCAGGAGAGGCTCCTCCACAGACGATTAAACACAAGCAACAGGTGCGCCTTCTGATTGACACCAGAAGCAGGTGTCACGAAGAGCTGGGCCTGTGCGTGGCCCCCACAGGCCGGGGACAGAAGCAACCAAGACTCTGCCCGAAGGTTCCGCCTGCCTCATGGAAGCCTCCAACTTCTGTTAATCGTTTCTCTTCTCCAGCAACCTCTGCACTTGTGTGGTGGACATGAGTGCTTGGGGGGCAAAACTCACTGAGTTAGCTGGATCCTTGGAGGACGTGGCGCCCCAGGAGGAAGCAAGAACCTAGGAACACAAGTCATTCCTCCAGGTCACCTGCCAGCCACTCTCGTGGGAGCCAGTTAAAGAACCTCAGAGGAGGCTCCCACGAGGCACCTGCTGAGGCTGTCCACACAGTCACAGCACGTTGCTCTCAGAATTTGCTCCAGCCACACTCCAGGGCTCACCCTCGCTCGGAGGTCTGGGCCGGGGGCGTGGGCAGGTTCGCCAGCAGAGTGAGCCCAACGCAGGCTCTGCCTAACACACCTGTGACCTCGACCATCATGACCTCGGCTGCTGCAACCTCCCTTGAGCCCGTGTCCTCGACCAGGAGACGCATGGGAAAACGGATCCAAGGACTGACTGATGTAAGACGCCTGCACAGTGCCTGGGTCTGGGCAGAAAGTTCCTGAACAGGAACTTTCATTGGTAATAAAGCATCTACAGGTGTCTCGCTCTGAGATCGAGGAAGCATGGATCCTCAAGTCTCACCCATAACCAGACAGGAGAGGGCTGCGGTCAGCATGCAAGTCAGCGGCCCCAGATCCTCTTGGTTCTCACTTGACGTTCCCTGGTGCACCTGCCACCCCGTCTGTCCCTGCAGCTGTGGCCTCCTAGACCTGGCCAACCCCAGCAGGTCTCCACCCACTCTCTGCACTTAGCACGGTGACAAGTGTGATAAATTCACCCGCAGTGTGACCACGAGCCTCCTCTCCAGGCTGTCCACCTGGCATGACCCCCCACCCGCCCCTCACCTGCCTGGGCCACACCATCCTGAGGTGTCTGTCCGGGATTACTCTTCAGGGAAGGCTTCTGCAGGCAAAGCTAAGTGAGGCCCTGTCCTGGCCAGACCCGCTCCATCGCCCTCTCTCCTCTAGATTTGTGGGTCCGGACACCCTCAGTTCCACTGGGCCTCGCACGGTGGTG